CTACCGCGCCGTCCTCAACGACCAGTTCGGCCTCTCGCACTTCAACTGGCCGGTGCAGGGCTCCAACTACCAGGTCCTGCGCACCGGCTGCTTTCCCTTCATCAAGTACCACTGTTCCAGGGCGCCCTGGCAGGACCTGACCGCGCAGAACCGCTTCTTCACGGCTCTCAAGGTCGTCAACCTCGGTGAGTGGGGCGGCCGCTGGCCTGACCCGGCGACACGCGTCCCGCCGAGGGCGCCCCACTGTGCACAAGCACTGACGACAAGGATCGCGCCCAGGCCCGAGGCCCATCGAGGTCAGGGCCAGGGCGCAGGGACCCTGGAGTATACCGTGGGATCTGTGACGCTGCCCGGTCCCACCCCGGACTGGTCGCTGGCTCAGGTCCTTTGTGTCCCCGGGAGTAGCTAGTCCAGCTACTCATCTCCATAGCAAAGTGGACGTGTCCCCAGGACCACTCTCATCCATCACCCTTAGGGAGAGGACAGGCCACCCTCCTTCCTGCCATGTCCCTGGGAAGACAACCCCTACAGACACCCGCGCGCTCTGGGCAGTAAGGAGGGTGTCAGGAAACGTCCCTGTGCTGGCCAAAGTGGCTCTGAAGCCAAGAAGTAACTCAGGGCATATTACAGGATTTGTCCCCGCAAACATCACAGTGTGGGTGCGTTGTGACATGACAAAGCAAAAAACAAACAAACAAAAAAACTGGAAAGTACTTTTTAAGTTCCTTTGTTTTATTTACATGAAATCCCAACAAGTTCGCTTTACTAAAAGCACTAAAGGTTTTCCACCAGGTATATTAGCTTCCTTGGGTGCTAGGCCTATGAAGTATTTAAAAAGATTCTCCCCTATTAACCTTTATATGTATTTTCTGGAAATATTCTAATTCCCATGAGTACTCGCTGAATGTTTATTTTCTTTTGACAGAAGATACAGAAACATAGACACGATGTTTTATAAGTCAGAGTATAAGGCCTCAAGATGTTTTGGACCTATTAACAGCTTACAGAAAAATCTAGATTTCAGTAATTCACAATCTAGACCTGGGCGCTGAACCATATTATCCAACCACTTAGAGCCAGAATTAAAACTAAATCAGTCGTGTATAGCTGTACTAGTATCATATGATCTGATAACCCATTAAATTTAAATATGGCACATGTATTTTTGCCTAACTCACATATGTCACTTAAGGGTTTTTGAGCTGTGGTTCCCACTGGGACTGTCCTGGGCTCAATCCAATAAGGAGAAAATTATTTAGCAATGTGTAATCCTTTTTGAAATGGCCTTATGTACTACACAAAGTAAGGCCACTAATTTTAGGGGTTTCTATGAAGTTGAAGGATGAGGTGATTTTGAGAACTCAATTCAAAATTATTTGGAAAGACTGAAGTGATGACTGAATTGCAGAAGAATTAATTTGTGCTAGCACTCTCAGAATTGGAAGAAATCATTCTTTCCCAAATGTAGAGTAATAGATTAGGAGGAAAAGTGTAAGAGGAGCTTGTAGGTAAACCATGCATTGAAAGACCTTTTTTAAAAAGTCACAATTTAGAACTTAACATTTTGTTGAAGGTCAGTTTAATGATTACGGATTTCTCTTAAATACAGATGTTAAGACATCCCCCAAAAGTAGGATACTCAACATTTCCCACACAGAAAAATAAAACCTTTTGAGAAAGAAAACACAATTCTATCCTTGGTTGTTTTTTATGTGGAAGACTGAGGAATGGTTTGTATGGTCTTGGAAATTTTAAAAAATCTTACTTAAATGGAATTAAGAGTTTAAGTTAAGCAAAGGAAAACCCTTTGCTTGTGCGTGCTTTAATATAAATTGTCTTATACTGATAAAGGGATTTTTTTTTCCTGGACTTTTTAAAGGCTGTTGTATTCACTAGTTTGGTAAGGTTTATTTTTTATTTTTCCTAACGGAAGGGAATGTGAATTTGATAATAACATCCTTTTCTATTCTGTGATGTAAAATGGATCATGAAGTTCATAGTCTATGAATAAGAATAGTAAGGATTTTATTCCTCTTTTTCAAATTACTAATTATCAGAGTAATTCATTTTTCCATTTTATAAATAATAAAGATTTCCGTTAACCCATTTGTTCTTTTTCTCCTTCACTTTCCCTTCCATGAGAGCTGAGATTTTACTGATGGTTTATCAGTTTAAGTATCTTGCTGGGAAATAGATTGAGATTTAAGAAAAGCAATGTACCATTGGAATGAATGGGTAATCGGAGACTTACTACAAAGTTCCAATTTTTTTAAGTGCTTAATTTGACAGTGGCTTACCTACTGTTCAGTTGGCTCAAAATGAATTATTATGCAAAGAATTTTCCATTTCATTTTGATATTATGTTTCAGATAGTGTGGGAAATTTTTAATTTTTCATGGAATCTTAAAGACTTTAAAGCATATGTTGTACATATAAACAAAGAATATTTTTATATATAAATTACAGAGTTATAGAGCAAATCTTCCCAGTTAGTGTTATTAGTCTGACTGCACTGCAGAAATATATGGCAGGAAAAAAGATTGAATTTCTGACTTCCTTATCACAACTCCATCTCCTGTCAAATAGCATTATTGAAAATGGTTCCTAGTTGTTCCTGAATGAGAGATTATATAGTTATTATTAAACTAATAATCTTTAATCAGTCTACCATTTTAGCTAAAAACATTACCTAAACATTTGTGTGATGTTTTCACAAGTATGAATCTCTTAAAGTAGTGATATTTTAATTTAAAACTGTGATAAATATTATAAAATATACAAAGTTCCCATTGTCACCAGCCATTTCTTAAATTTATATCCTTGCTTTAATTTTAAAGGCACATTTTACGTATTTTACTCTCAGTATATTTAGAAAATTAATAATTGCTTCTAGAGTCTATTTTTCTCTTCCTCACTCCATTGATTTTTCATTTTTTGGAGCTGTGATATGGCATTTTGAATTTTAATTTCAACTGGTCCCTATACTTCTTCCTCACTTCTGCCTATCTTGTTTATGTTCTTCTGTCTACTACCCATCCTCACACCCGTACCTTTTTATTTTTTGAATGAACGATTCATAAGTAGCTTTATTATTGCCATTTTTGTGGATTTTTTTGTGACATCCTCTTGAGGCACTTAGAGATTCTTTGAGGCATTATCAGAGCAAGCAAACAAGGCAAAATACTATGAAGGAGTTCTAGGGAAGCTTGAGATAATAAACTGACCCAGTGTATTCCTAAAAATAGAAAAGTGCCAACCTGAATGGACATGTTTTCACTCCTTCTTGTTGCCAGCTACTGATGCTTCTGATTAATCTCTGGCATCACAATGACTAGAGTACAGCTTCAGGAGAAATAAGCACAAACTAGTCCAGCACACTTACCACACTCAGAAAGAGCATGACACAGTTAATACATTCTTGTAGAAAAATAAGAGAAAAACTTAGCAACGTGATCAGTCCTGAACATGTGTTGATTTCCCTGTTAACTAGAAAGAGTAATTTTCCAGATGTGCAGCTATCCTTTTAAATTGTCTCTTTCTGCCCTTTTCCACGCGGGAGCTATAAAGTTAATACTTATGTAGAGTATACGATATTTGTTATTAACTCATGCACCTGTGGTTTTATGCATGTTTTTGTTTGTTAATAGTCATTGATTTTAAATAAGAGCATTAAGAAAGATGGAATTATGAAAGTTTGTTTTGTGTCCAACATAGAATCATATGTGTATGAGTGCTTAATCCATATCTCTTGGTAGTATTGTGTTTGGTTTCATGTATGACAAGTGACTGTCAAATAAGGAAGCAAAATCTTACCAAAACCATGTCTTAGAGTCTACTATATACCTATTCCAAATAGGTTGGAACAAGATAGTATTCAGTTCAGTTGTAAAAATACAAATACATTAGTATTAGAAAGAAAATACATTGCTTTCTTATGCCTGTTACATTGAAATCGTCTTTGAAATAAGGTTTGTCTTATTGAAGACAGCTATTTGACCTAATTTCTTTATAAATTACTTTAAAATTACTAAAAATTACTTTAGCCATCAGTTGTTACTATCTAGCTTAAAGGACAGTAAAGTTGACCTAGTAATTCTAGCTCAAAGCTAATAATCACGAGTGTTTACGACTAAATTAATGATATTCTTTTCCATTTGCTTATCTGTGAAAAGAATATAGAATTACTTCAAGAAAATGAATTAGGGAAGTGCTTTGAATTAATATTTGTATCAGCCTTATCTGTATAGTTTTAAAAATTTCTAAGCCCACATATGAATAATTGTTCTTAAATAATCATTGTCAGTATTGTTCTATTTTTATATTGTTATAACTTGTTAACAGTCCTGGAGATTGTTACATGATTAGGAGCATGACAAATACATGGGCACATGATTAATAAGTATTGATGTTCACAAATAACATATCCATTTGTTTTCTAGGTATTCCAACTTTATTATATGGAATTGGCTCCTGGTTATTTGCCAGAGTCACAGAGACTGTGCATACCAGTTATGGACCAATAACAATTTATTTCCTAAATAAAGAAGATGAAGGTGCCATGTATTGAAAGTATGCATTAGAGAATACAAACACAGTATCAGTGGATTTTCTCTTGTATGTGCAATATTTATTTTTGATCCTTTGAAATAAAACTTTTACAAACACTTTTTTCTTTCTGTGGTGTCTAGTTCTTCAAGATGAATCATTGCCCTCAAGCGGCAAAGCTTTTCAGATGTTGTTATATATTGCATTCTCTGTTTAGCTAATGGGAACTAGAAACACATGAAGCCTCACACCAGTGTTTCCCTAGAACAAGGTTAAACTACAGATAAAAATGACTCTTATGTATATAGATTGTGTAGTTAGGCACCAACAATTTAACTTGACTCTACAGAAAAAATACAGAGGCCCACAAAAAGAAGAGGAAGAAAATCTTTTACATTATTAGGTCAGGGGGAAAAATAAAGGATAAGACTGTATATGGTGTATATGGTGGAGATAATATTATTGGCAAATCCAAAAATTGATGAGAATCTAATTGCAATGTGAAATCTAAATTATTCAGCTGCCAGGATTTTGCATGGAAATATTTTAAATCTCTTGTCCCATTTATCTGGAGAAGAGGGTTGGGATAAAATGCTGAAACTTCTTGTTGCTTAGAGAAACTAATACCATAGTATTTTTAAATGTAATAACAACTCTAGTTAATGTAAGTGCAACAAGGTGAATGAAATTAAGACCTACTAAAAGTTAAAATAGCATGCCAATAAAGCTGTAGAAAGACCCAGAAAAATAAATTTGGCAACTGTTTATAAAAGCAATTAACTGAAATTGTACATATCCATAGCCTTATTGGCAACGGGGAGTAGGCTGAAATTTTAAAGACTTGATGGCACTTTTGCATTAGAATTTTATTAAGTTAATTGCATTTTTGAAAGCAAAGTCATTTAAAAAATTTATCCTTGGGGATAGTCACAAAATACCCAGACGAATGGTAAATTTCAGAAATTTGGAGTAATTTAGGGAGAACTAAGTAGAACTATTTAATTTCTAAACCAATGGGTGTTTAAGATTTATGATTGCTCCTATAATTACAAACATACATTATATATCATTTTATGTTAATGTGTTGCTGATACTCTGCTACATTTACACATTTTTGTAGGAAGATATTTTATAAAATTGAATATAATGCCTGTTAAGTGAGTAGAGAAAGCAGAAGCAATTGAGGTGAAAGCACTAAAATAATGAACTAATACTAACTGGCTTCTACAAAAGTAGTTATTTAAAATGCGCTACAGAGAGTGAACTGTTTTCAAATATATGTAGTGTTCACTTGTTTAAAAGCAATTCTAAATAACAATTTAATCAAAGGAGTACGTATGCCAATATATTTAGTCCAGAAAAATATACTTGACACCAGTTAAATGAATGGCTTATACAAAGGAGATAATGTTACATTAAGCTTCATTAATAATAAAACTGTCTATTAGCATTTTGCAAGGAAAGCTAGAACTGATTCCCTCTGTAATGGACAAAGTTAAATAACTATAGCTCATAAGTTTTAAGTCAAATACTGCTCATTCATTGCTGCTGATCTTGTCAATACTTGCTGTAAAGGTTTGGTCCCAACACAAGGTTGGTAAAATGGTTTTTAATTACCAGACTATAAATGCACCTTTTCAGTAGAGTTGTACCTCTTTTCACACTGGCCTGTTTGATTTCTGATAATTTGTACTGCTGACTCTGCTTACCTGTTTTTCAATAGCTACAGTCAGTGTGACTTCTTGTCCATATGGTGATAGGTAAGTCTCCTTGGAGAACATCTTTGACAAACTACCCTATTGATCTCTGTAATTCTTTGCTGCCTGCAGCATTAAATAGATCCTTAATTTCTTATCTGGTGTGCTCACTGTGTAACAATTAAGCAAATGTAGTATTTTCTTGTATTACATGAAAATCAATAGACCTTATGCTCTTATGGAGTTGATCACGGTGAAGGATGAACTGAATGATAGTTAAGGGCATAGTTCAAAAATTAAAGTATCATTCATTGGATTTAGTAAGTCTTGTAGTGAACCTTTTAGTATGAAAATTGCTTCCCACTGAACAGTAAAGGTTTCAATTGCTTTAAAGTTGCATATTCCATAGAAGCGTAGTCTAAAAGGGATAAAGTATGAATGCTGAGATCCAGGAGGTTAAGTGTATTTTTAGTGTCAGAGCTATCTTTTGACCTATGGCTAATTATTTCTTTTGTGTCTTGGCTTTTCCATCTGTAATCTGAGAACAAAGCAAGACACCTTTCTACCTTAAAAGAAAAGGTAACATGATTATGCTTGTAAGCACAAGAGTTTTATTTCAGTAAAAGATCTATTTTTGAAATCCACATTTCTATGTTCCTTGTATTTGTATTTATAAAGGACTTTGTCAATAAAAGAATTTCAAAAGCGGTGCAAAAGGAAGACAAATTGAAAGCAGTTTGTGTGCTTCTGTGCCAGTGCCTGGTGACCTAAGGTGGCATGGTGGCGGGGGTCGGGCTGGAGTGAGCCCTCCTTTCTGGATACCAGGAGTCTCTTGGTTAGTGAAACCATTAATTCACATTTGCTGCCTATATTTAAATGGGCTCTTTGTCTTTAAAATAATCTAGACAAAACTTTTTTTTAATGAAGATGTGTTTTAGTACAAAACATTGCATCTCTTGTTATTTCTATTCAAATCAATTATCAAGTATTCGGAGAAAATTCCTAGATTCTCTGTAGGTTGTAAACCACTATAAAGACACAGTAACACAATTGAGAGTACGAAAGTGACTGCTAATATAAAAGCCCTGATTGTTCAGTGATGGTGTCCTAACATACCAAATTGTACAAATAGTTAAAATTTCTTTCATTACACATATTTGACCATTAATGTTTTACTGTTAAGTTAAAATTTTTTTTAAATAATTAAAGGCCATATCTATTTTAAGTTCATTTTATTTCATGTTATTTCCAGTTATGTCCACCCAAAACTGTAAGCACAGAACATCTATAATTATTCACAAAATGTTTCTTTGATCTATTAAAAGAATGAAAGATTCCTGAATGAATGGGGTGGCATCAAAGGTAAGGATCTTGATTTCACTTTGCTTAAAAGCAAATGCAGATAACAGAAACCTTATCCTAAAGCTGTAGATCAGGTGTCTTCTTTTTTTTCAGCACTTAGCATTGAGAGTAATGATGTTTGGAAGCTTCTTAACCTAAACAAGTACTTAGCATTACATCTCACCAGGGTCAACAGTGTAGGGTATCAGAGTTAAACTGTGTTACTGTAAATTAATGGAAAATGTAACTGCACTTTGCTGAAAGATCAATGTCCAATAAAGGCTGCACAATCAAATCTTGTTGCAATGATTGAGGTCTTTAATTGCCTTTCAAAGATAAGGTGGTAATCAACACAGCTTTAACTGATCTTTTTTACTAGTTCAATTACATGCTAATGACTAGTGCCAAGTCAGAATCTTTAAGTACTTATATTTATTAAATCTTATGTTAGTAATGAAAAATTACTTAAGCTACATAATCAATAGAACACAAATCTTCATTATTATATTTCACTTGCATTACTAGTATATGTGCTCTACAAATGTTTCATGAGAGCTCTCCTGACAATAAGTTACTTAGTAGTGACCACAGTCTACAGATTATTTTCCTAACATAAATTGGAGCTCAGATGTTGATTTTTTTATTTTAATAAAGATGTAGCTAAAATATTGTAGTTTCTCCGAAAACATATTTGGCCATCCAACCACCCAGGGTTCTAGCCTTCTAATGAAAGTACTAATACAACTGGAATGAAATAAATGTAGGGTATTTTTATGAAGTTTATTTCCAAATATTCCATTAGCTTTTTAGTAAACAAAGTGACCCCACCAAAAGCCTACAGTAGTCTCATAGTTTGGGAAATGGTAAAAGAAAGTATAGGTGAGTTGAATATTAAAATAAAAGATGTCTGTGCTTTGAAGAATGTGATCAAGGACATAGATAATCCTGCAGAATGGGAGAAAATATTCACAAATCATTTATCTGGTAAGAGGATTATATCTAGCATATATAAAGTAGTTAAGAAAACTCAACAACCCTATTGAAAATGGTTTTGAAAAGACTATTCGAGGAAGACATATAAATCACTAACTCATGAGAAGATACTCACCATCATTAGGGAAATGAAAAATCAAAACTACAGTGAGATACCACTTCATATCCACTAGGATGGCTACAACCAAAAAGATAAGTGTGCATAAGGGTGTAGAGAAATTAGAACCTTCATACATTGCTAATGGAAATGTGAAATAGGTGCAGTTGCTTTGAGAAAGTTTAGCAATTCCTCAATTTTTTGTTTCATTTTTTTCTTTTTATTGAGTATTGGTACATTTTAGGTATACAGTACAGTTACATTCATTATTGGGATCTTGTACCTTTACATGACAGGACAATTCCTCAATTTTTTGTTTCATTTTTTTCTTTTTATTGAGTATTGGTACATTTTAGGTATACAGTACAGTTACATTCATTATTGGGATCTTGTACCTTTACATGACAGGACAATTCCTCAATTTTAAACAGGGAGTTACCATAACAGGTAGGATGTCTACTCCTAGCTATACACCCTATAAAACTAAGATTATGTCTGTATAAAAACTTGTACATGAATATTCATACCAGTATTATTCATACTAGCAAAAACGTAGAAATGACAAATATTTGTCAATTGATAAGCAGAGAAAGTGTCACAGTCACACCATGGGATGTTAATAGCCAAAAATAAAAGGAATGAAGTACTGACACACGGTACAGCATCGATACAAAACTTGAAAACATTAAGTAGAAGAAGCCTATCATAAAAGACCACATATTGTATGATTCCATTCATAGTAAACAAAATATCCACAATCAGAAAATTCCTCTATAGAGACCAAAGTAGGAGAGCAGTTGCCAGGGACTGGAGAGGTGGGGAGAAAATGGGGAGTGACTGCTGATGAGTGACAGATTTAGGGGTGGCGAAACTTCTAAAATTGTGATGGTAGCAAAATTCTGTGACTATACACAAACTACTGAATTGTACACTTTAAGTGAAAGAGCCATATAGCATATGAAGAATATCTCCATAAAGTTGTTAAAATATATGAGGGGAAAGGGAATGCGCAATTCATGTTTCATCAGTACAATTTTAGTTTTGAAAGATGAAAAACATTCTATAGATGGATGGTATTGAGGGTTACATAATATTAATGTGCTTAATACTACTGAACTGTAGGCTTAAAAGTAGTTAAGATGGTAAATATGTGTATTTTACCAGAATTTAATTTTAAACTAGGCACGGGGGCATACGCCTGTTAATTCCAGCTACTCAGAAAGCTGAGGCAGGACAATCATAAGTTCAAAGCCAGACTGGCAGTTTAGCAAGATCGTG